GAGTGTGTGTGTGGGTGTATGTATTTATGTACACACATATATATATATTTATATCATTCATGTATATGTATCATGTATCATGTATATGTATATTTATATGGATTTGGATTTATATATGTACATGTACATGTATATGTAGATGTATAGGCTACATATACATGTACATGTACATGTGCATGTGCATGTACATATAAATTTATAAGTATATGTATATATGTATAGGTATGCGATTGTGTATATATATATATGTGTATGTGTACATATATATATATGTATATGTATCATGTACATGTATATGTATATGTATTTTTTTAATGTGTATATGTATTTGTCTAGATATTTGGATATATATGTATATATATATATATATCTATATATATATATATATGTACAAGTACATATATATGTATATGTATATATATATATATATATATATATATATATATATTAAGTTTATATATATATATATATAATATATATATATATATTTGTATGTGTATATGAATATGTATATGTATATGTATATATGCAATATATATATATATGTATATATATATATACGTACTTTCTCATACATACACACGCACATACACACACACACGCACACACACACACATATTTATATATATACACATATAAATATATGTATGTATGTATGTTTGTATATATGTATATATATATACATACATATATATATATATATATATATATATTTGTATATATATATATATAAATATATATTTATGCTTTTGGCTGTGTCGAGATGATGTACACAACAATCGAAATACAGTGACTGTATGTCAGCTCTGTGTGTTTTCGGTTGCACAAATTCTCTTACCTTAAGAATTGTTTTGTCGGATGGTGATTAGTTTCTTAATGTCATGGACTGCAGCGGAGTATGATGATGATGCGTGCAAAATGATCATTATGCACTGTAATCAGGCATTCTAGGCCCACTCGTACGTGTACTTGGCGCCATACTCTCGACGTGTATATGTGCATGCATGCGAATGCATATCACACACATGACCATTTAACGCATCCAAATAATTACGTTCTCAATTTGTTCACTTCCTTATTTATTCATTTCCTCATTCATCATATTGTGGCAAGCCTATGTATCACTGTATTGATGGGGGTTTTTTTTAAATTGTGAACGCAGGATTTGTGTGTGATGATCTGCAAATACTGGTACTAGACGAGGCGGACCGTATCATGGACCTGGGCTTCAGTGAAACCATGAACGCCATTATTGCGAATTTACCTAAGTATGTGGGTGTGTATACGCAAACTATGCTATCTAGATACTACACACATGCGAACGTTTTACAACACTACAGTCTAGTTGCGCATATATCTGTATTGCGAGGCTCCCAAGCTTAGGCGATTAAGCCGGGTTGCTCTATTCGTTTATAATTGCTCGCTCGCTTCTGTGCCAATTTTGTACCGCTCAATTGTTTTCATAAAATTTGGCCAAATGTGTCGTGCAGGATGATGCGTAGTATAGACAATTGGCTGCTATTGTTTTGAAGTGTTGTAAGCTTGCCTTCTATGCTCAAGAATTGGGTGCGTTTTCACGTGTACGTCAGCCTACTGATCATTTACTAAGTATGAATGTGCGGATGCATTTACACATTCAATAGCCTTATGATTACTCACTCCCTGCGAAAATCAAGTTTATCTAAGTTGGGTTGCTCCTCCTATGATAAAAGTGCCAAATACCTATAGCATTGGTGTGTAACGCGTAGTGTTCTATTCGTCATCTTAAACTTGCACATGCTTGCACGCTCGCTATAATCGAAATGACTTCTGCAATCATCACACCTTTCTAGATCGAGCGAATGTTGCTATTCTCAGCCATCCAAGAGAAGTGTATCCGAGACTTAGCGTGTTTTCTCTAGAATATACATATTTTGGCTCTGTAAATGTATGCACGCCCGTGTGCACATACACATAGCACATGCTCTTCTACCGCCACATACTCACGTACTCTCTACGACTTTTCACTTTCATTTAGATCAAGGCAGACGATCCAAGAGAAGTGTATCCGAGACTTAGCGTGTTTTCTCTAGAATATACATATTTTGGCTCTGTAAATGTATGCACGCCCGTGTGCACATGCACATAGCACATGCTCTTCTACCGCCACATACTCACGTACTCTCTACGACTTTTCACTTTCATTTAGATCAAGGCAGACGTTGCTCTTCTCGGCCACCCAGGAGAAGAGCGTTAAAGACCTAGCGCGTTTGTCTCTCAAGTCACCGGAATATGTTACCGCTGGTGACCACGACACCTCAAGCAATAGCGGAGAAGCTTCCGAATACCAAGCCCCACCCAAACTCACCCAAGTATATCTCGTATGCGACCTGCAGAGGAAGTTGGATATCCTGTATTCATTCCTACGCACACACACAAAGGATAAGATTCTAGTGTTCATGTCGTCGTGTAAGCAGGTGCGTTATGTATACGAAGCGTTTAGGAACGCGCGACCGGGCTTGCCGTTGCTGGCTTTGCATGGACAACAGAAACAGGCCAAGAGAATGGCCATGTACAACTCTTATACTAAAAAGTCGGAGGCGTGCTTGTTCGCCACTGATATAGCTGCGAGGGGGCTAGATTTTCCATCTGTCAATTGGGTGATCCAGGTAGGGTTTTGTATCACGCACCGCTCTCGATGCTCGCCATTTACGCTGTGTCCTCAGGTTCATCGATTGAGTCATTGTGGGCCGCTTTTAGTTCTCGCTCATCGGGATATAATCTCATACGCTGCGTTCAACGTCAGAGATAGTTCTGAACTAGGGCGATATAATATCCACCTCGTAGAGGACCGGCAGGGATAGTGAACTTAACACCACTTTTTTTTTAAACCCTTTGCATCGCAATCATTGCTCACAGATGGACTGCCCGGAAGACGTGGCCACATACATCCACCGCAGTGGTAGGACTGCGCGATACAAAGCAGACGGTAAAGCACTACTCATGTTGCTTCCCAGTGAGGAGGAGGCGATGTTAGCCAAGATAACCGAGCGCAACATACAGCTACAACGCATCAAGATGGACGAGAAAAAACTCACGTCGTGTGTTAACCACGTGTCTAACCTGTGTGCGAAGGATGCGGATATGAAGCACTTGGCACAGAGGTCGTTTGTGTCGTATGTGCGATCGGTACACTTGCAGGCGGATAAAGAAGTGTTCAATGTGGGGAAGCTACCGCTGGAGGAGTATGCGCTGTCGCTGGGCTTGTCGAAGGCACCAAAGATTAGGTTTGTGAAGAAGATTAAGAAACACTTTGGAGCCCAGGCTGACAGGCCGGAGGCGCACTTGAGCAAAAAGGAAGCTATAAATGTACTGAAGCAAACTCAGAAATCTCCGGACGAGAACAGCGATGCCGCAGGGTATGTATTGTGCGAGTGCGTAGGAAGGGATAAATGCACGCGCATGTATTCTTATATGTTTATCTGTAAGTGTACAATGTGTTTGTGCATGGTTGCAAAATATGCAGTCATGTAGCCTCGTTTGTGTTGCCGTATGTATGAGTGTGCGTGTCTATTTTGTATGCAAGTGTGCATGGTTGCAAAATATGCAGTCATGTAGCCTCGTTTGTGTTGCCGTATGTATGAGTGTGCGTGTCTATTTTGTATGCAAGTGTGCATGTTTGTATATGATAGCTACGAATATATGCATGTCATGTCATTTTTGTATTTCGTGTGAATGGTGCGTATTCGCGTGTGTAAGCATATATGTATCTCTGAGTTCGTCTAAGGTATGTTTTTACGTACTTAAAAGTTCTCCTCGTGTACGACTGACTGTGAATATCCCCGTCTGTTTTTCAAGAAGTGATGGAGAGGCCGAAGATAAAGGTTGGGATGTAGATGTGGATGATGACGATGATCTGCTGATAGTAAACCCAGACCAAAGTAAGGTTGCCCAACTGGATTCGGAGGACGATGCGCAAGTGGCGCAAGAGTTGGAAAAAGCTCGAAAGAAAAAGGAGAAGACGAAGGTAAGTATTACCATGCATTTGTCGCTGTTTACTTCTGTGTGTATATCTACCAAATTTTTAATTGGCTATGTATACATATGCATCAGTATATGTTTGTGTAATTCTATGTTTTTGTGCTCAGATGGCGCACAGTTGGCGCAAGAAAAACACATGGCATAAAATATCTCACAACCTTATAACTCTACATGTGTTTATGTTCAAGCTATTTATCTGTGTGCACTTTCGCAATACAACGTCACGCCCAGTATTCATGGTATCTGAATATTTCCTTTAACATATAAAACGTCGCTGCCCTCAAATATATATATATATATATATATGCATATGCACATATATGTATATATGTATATATACATATACATATACATTTGTGTATATATACTTATATGTATATGTGTCTGTATGTGTATATGTATATATACATATACATACACATTTTGTATATATATATGTATATATATATACATATATATATATGTATTTATATATATATATATATATATATATGTAAGTATATATATATATACATATAAATGTATACATACCTTTATATATATATATATCACATAATATATATAAATGTATATATTTTTACGGTTTATGTTTTGATTTGTACTGACGTGTATTTTTGCAATTAAACAGGCGGCAAAGGCCAAGAAGGAGCTCAGCAAGGGAGCGACAAACACCAAAGTCAAGTTCATTGACGGAGAGGCCCACACCGTGAGGGGTACGGCGCCAGAAGCGGCAGACGACGGCTACGAAGGGGGTATTGATATCGAGGCCGTTAAGCAGAAACTGAAGGAAGAAAATGTCAAGGATAAAGCTGTATGTTTATTTACAAGTTATTAGGGTACATGAAGATGTGAAGTATTAATGAGTGTGTGGTCGCTGACTGTGCTATTTCAAACTCGGTTATTTGTTACTGCTAGTTATTGAAAGTCACGCGCTAAGGTTTGAATGGAGGAACTGAGGCTAGTTTAGGATCATGCACTGGTTATATTTTATGTACAACCACATCATCGATTCAACTACGTTTTGCCTGCGGCCAAATGCGATTTTAAAACTACGTTGTGCACGTTTAACCTCCCTCCCCCCCTCTCCCCCCCCCCCTCTATACCAAAAAAAAACAACAGGCTGATCGCGAGCGTTTAAAACAGAGGAAACGTGAGAGAAAGATCAAGGAGAAGAAGAGGCTGGCTGGTTCAGACAGCGAAGATGACGGCGCTGATGGTCCTGTGGTTGTAACACGTATGTCTATACACATTTGCAAGTGTTTTTCTCTTCAAAGCGTAGATGGACGAAAACGTTTACACGTATGTATAAATTTATCAGTACTAATCTAAATAGACTTTTTTTTTCCTCGTGAATTTACGCTACAAGCCCCTCGATTTATTGTATTGCGGCTCCTATGCAGTTGATTTTCTCACTGTGGCTTTTCATAAGGATCGTGGTTTTACGTTGAACATGGTGCATCTATAAATTGCACAAGACTTCATCCTGAAATACAATCGCTCGTTGTGGTTTCGTACGGAATAGTTGGTGCTTCGTGGATGTCTAAACTCGCTATTGATCGCTTTCTTAATCAATAAAGTGGCTTCCTGACATTTTTGTTACGCTATATGCTTGCTGTTCATTCCATTGGGCTTCTAACAATCTAAATGTCAATTGGCGAGTCACCGGTCATAGTTTTCATGTATCCCGATATGGTTTCTAATAGTTCTTCATTTCATCTCTCTCACATACTCTGCGGACAGTTGGCGGCGATGATGCACAGGAAGACAGTGAGGACGAATCGCACAATGCAGCAGGTGCAGAATCCGACGGCGAGTATTCCGACTACGAGCGGTAAGTATTATTATTTTTCTGGTCTACGTGTATGCAGATATGTTGGTCATGCTTGTTAATTTGTGCGATGGGTGTGAGACGGCGATACTTCCGATTCAGAGTGGAAGTAATTGTGCTTGCCTGTATTTGTATATGCACGTATGTAGAGCTATTGTTGCTGGTTCGTTGATCCGTATTCAGGTGTATGCATATACTAATGCATATACTAACGATCACATGAGGTGATTACTGATACGAATAGGGACAGTGTGGCAATGGCTGCGAAAAGCAGAACATTTCTTTGAAAAATGTGCTCAATCCTCTCCAGATATACTTTGTCAACAAATCTTACCTACCTACGTACATCTCAATACACGAAGCTCTCACAACTATTGCTCGCATGTCGTCTGCATCTTTTCTGTCAATGAAGACCAGTATATCCCTATAGTTTAACAACAATCTGTTCTCACAACTTCAGAATGTTTTCTACTCACCAAGCATCTATTCCTATACGGCGTTTAGTAAAGACTGTTGTCAATAGCGCTACTCTTTGGGACCCTGAATTATTTAACTAAGACCCATACTTCTCAAGATGCCATATATATGTACACTGATAGGTACGCATTCGCAATTATGAATTGATGGCGTTATTGTCCTACTTATCATTTTTGGATCAAATATTTACTACACGTGTAGATTTATACGAATAAAATATTCATCTTATTTACAATTTACTATAGACCCGGAGCTAGCCGCGGAACAAAACGTAACCGTTCGAGTGGAAGTGAATCATCGGACGACGACGCTGATGCTAATAATAATAACAATGCTACAACAGATGCATTCTCGAGTAAACGCGCGCGTGCAATGCAAAGAGACGAGGCTCTTGCGCTGCAGATGTTAGACATGTAGACAGATTGAATGGCAATAAAGTCACCGATGAAGTGTACGTTTTACATTGGGACATCTGCTGCAAATGTGCCAAAAAAAATAAGAGCTCTGGGTCAAACGAAGTCTTTCGACGGCTCAAATGCAGCAGATATATGTATGTATGTATGTATATATGTATATGTATACATATATATATATATATAATCTATATATATATATATATATATAACTAAATTTTTATATGAATATACATAATATATATATATACATGTATATATATATATATATAAATATATACTATATACTATATATACACATGTATTTGTATACATGCATGTATGTATGCATAAT